TTTTTTTTTTGTTATAATGTTATTAGAACAATGATTCTTAAATAATTTTTGATATTAAAACGTTATTTTTTTAATCTTTAATATATGTCTTTCTGGTACCAAATTCATATTTGGTAGCAAAAAGTGTGCTTTCAGCTACCAAAATAATGTTTGGTAACAAAAAATATAAGTTTCTGGTACCAAATTTTTGTAGTTGCCGTCCAAAATCTGCTACCAAAATCTTATTTTGGTGACAAAAAGGCATTTTTTGCTACCAAAAGTTGTGTTTGGTAGCAAATCATATAAAAACTTTAAAACTTACATTTTGTGCATGTATTTTTTTTTTGTTTTCCATAAATATGTCCTATATTAAGTTTTAACAATCATTCTAGTATATTTTGTATAACAATTATTTGATAATTTAATTATTTTGTGTAGGTGTAGCAAGAGACATGTTCATATGTATATATATGTGATATTGTTAACTAAATATATGTTCCACATAGAGTAGTATATAATTTCCTTATTTGATTGATTTTTAACTTTGAATAATGTATCTCAATTTCAAAAGTATATTTTTTATTATAATGTTATTAGAACAATGAATCTAAAATAATATTTGTCATCAAAAAAAAAAATTTTTTTAAATTTTTTAACATATGTCTTTCTGCTACCAAATTAAATTTTAGTAGCAAAAAAATATACTTTTAGCTACCAAAATAATATTTGGTAACAAATAAAGAACAAAATTTTGGTGGGAAAATCAATTTAACCTTAAAAATTAAACACACACACGTCAGTTTCATTAAAACAAAAAAAAGCCCTTCCCCTTCTACCTTAGAAACTCGGCCGCCCAAAGATTTTCTTCCCCTTCTTCGGAAACACTTCGTCATCTCCGCATCTCTGCCAGAAATTCCTCCGCCTTTCTTTCTCTCTCTAGCCGCTGATTCTCGGCGTCGTAGGCTCCGATTCTAGCTTCCGCCGCCTTCGATTGTCACTGTCGTCGCCGCCTATTGTCGTCGTCGCCGCCTAGTTGCCGACAAATCTAGTTGCCGACAAATCTAAGATCTCTCCCCTCACCATCAACGCCTCCTCATTTCCGGTCAGTTTTATCTCCCTCTCTTCCCCTTTCTCATCGTGGAAAAGTTTTTATTTTTATAGCATTTTAGGACAAGAATCTGTTTGAATCAGATTCTTGTCCAGAGCCACCCACGGCCCACCCATCCTCACCCTCACCCACCGGCACCGCCGCCCTATTCTTCTTCTTCGATGTTATGTTTTATTACAAAATCTAAGTGATTATGCAAGAAATGTGGTTGAGAAAAAGGCAAGGGAAGAAGCTGGAAAGGTTTTGATCCGCATGAAAGATAGGTAAAAAAAATAAAAAACTGGTGATCCATTTCTGCTAATTTTAATTTTTGGACACACCTACAATTTTGGGAACTTTTTTCTTTTTTAGTTTCTCAACAGTCTTCAATCATGACAATGATTCGATGCCAAGGGTCAGGACTGGGAAAGAAGACATTAGAGCTATTACAAAGGAAGCTCGTTCTGCTGTAAGTTTCTAAGTACTTTCATTCGTTCTACCAAAAGGCCAGATAAAATTGAAAGAATACTCTTTTCCTCTCTCATGGACGGAGCTGCTGTTTGACCGCATGCTCTAAGTACTTTCATTTGTTATGTTTTGTTATGACCGCATGCTATTTGATAAAATTACCGTTAGAATAGTGGTTATTATTTATTTATTTTGCTTTTCCTGAGCAAATTACCCAAGGTGCTTGTCTGTGGATTGTATTCTTTATTTAATTGGAATTTGATCAATTGGGTTTGTTTTGATTCGTATCTAAATGGGTGCAAACTGTTTTGATTCGTATCTAAATTACCCAAGGTGCTTTGCTTTGCTATTTGTATTGGCCAAAGCATATGGCGAGCTACCACAAGGTTATTGAAGGTTACAGCAGAGAGTTCCTAGCCTCTCGCGGGATTTTAAACGAGGTGGGTGAGAATGATTCAGTTCCAATTATTCCTGCATATAGTATACTGATTGATAATTTTGTGAAGGCTGGAAAACTGGAAGTGGCTTTGGAGTTGTATGAGGAGATTTCATCCTCTACACACTTAACTCCTTTGAGCAGGAATATGTATAATTCAATTATTGAAAGCCTCTCAAATACAAGTAAGGTTGGAAAGGGATTTGAACTGTTTGCAGATATGTTAAGGCGAGGTGGAATTCCGGAGTTAAGTACGTTTGTTCAACTTATCAAAGGACTAACTAGAGTTAATAAGTGGGATGAAGTTCTTCAGCTATCGGATAGCATATGTCAGATGGTTTGTCTTCTTTAACTCTTCGTCTCATTTTTCAAATTTACAAATTTCCTGAGCATTGATTTGCTTTTGCATAACAGTCTCTTGTTTTCTTTGGTTGTTAAAACATTCATTGATATGCAAGTCGTATGGCTCTTTGGTTCCTCATGCTTCTTGACATGATAAAATAATTATGATGTTGACAGTGCAATATAAAGTATTTTTCTCTTTAAGAATTTGACTTGCATTAAAGAAAAACTAATAAATAAAACTTGTTCCTAAGCTGAGTTCATGTGAAAGAAAGTACAAGATGGCATTAACATGTTTATGTTTTTATGCTTTGTTCATCATTGTGCATGAAGACAAGCACTCACAGTAAGATGTCTTTATGCAACATGTGTTTTCTATAAGAATATGTGGTCTCTCTCTCTCTCTCTCTCTAACCTTGTTGTTGTTGTTGTTGTTGTTGTTGTTGTTGTTGTTGTTGTTGTTGTTATTGTTTGTAGCTATATTGCCGGAATAAATGCATGCTGCTGCTGCTGCTGCTGCTTTGTTGTTGTTGTTGTTCTTCTTCTTCTTCTTCTGCTGCTGCTTTGTTGCTGTTGTTGTTGTTGTTGTTGTTTGTAGCTATATTGCCGGAATAAAGCTGCTGCTGCTGCTGCTTTGTTGTTGTTGCTATTGTTGTTTGTAGCTATATTGCCGGAATAAATGCATGCTGCTGCTGCTGCTGCTCGTTGTTGTTGTTGTTTGTAGTTATATTGCCGGCTGCTGCTGCTCGTTGTTGTTGTTGTTGTTTGTAGCTATATTGTCGGCTGCTGCTGCTGCTGCTCGTTGTTGTTGGTGGTGTTGTTGTTGTTTGTAGCTATATTGCCGGAATAAATGCATGCTACTGCTAGCTGCTGCTGCTACTGTTGTTATTGTTGTTGTTGTTTGTTAGAGCGTTTAATTCTTGTAATATTAAGATTTTACTAGTACAATATTTGCATAAGTGTTTAGTATTTTGTTTGGATTCTAATATGTATTGAAATATTTAGAGATTTTTAAATTAATATTTGGTATTTTATTTATATATATTTTTTTAAAAAATACAGGTACATAAATCTGTCTATTTGCTACTAAATATTTAGTATTTGATTCTTTTTGCTACCAAATATATTTTGTTATCAAAATTTTGGTAGCAGAAAGCTCACACTTTTTGCTACCAAAATTTTGGTAGCAGAAAGTTTATACCTTTTGCTACCAAATATATTTGGTTACCAAAATTTTAGTAACAAAAAACTCGTACTTTTTGCTACCAAATACCTTTTGCTACCGAAATTTTGGTAGCAAAAACCTCACACTTTTTGCTACCAAATATATTTGGTAGCAGAAGGGTCACACTTTTTACTACCAAATAGATTTTGTTACCAAAATTTTGGTAGCAGAAAGCTCACACTTTTTGCTACCAAAAACCTTTTGCTACCGAAATTTTGGTAGCAAAATCCTCATACTTTTTGCTACCAAACAGAAAGGTCACACTTTTTGCTACCAAATATATTTTGTTACCAAAATTTTTGGTAGCAGAAAGCTCACATTTTTTGCTACCAAAAACCTTTTGCTACCGAAATTTTTGGTCCCCGAATATTTTACATTCTGCTACCAAATACATTTTGTTACCAAAAAATTTTTTGGTAGCAAAAACTATTTGCCACTAAAAATTTGGTAACTAATACTTTCTGCTACCCACTTTTCGCTACCAAATTTTTTTGGTAACAAAAACATTTTGCTACCAAAAACAGGACTTTTGGTTACCAAATTTTTGGTAACAAAAAATTCAAATTCTTGTAGTGGGTATTAGATTAATTAATTTACGTTTTCATCCTGGTGACTCACAAAAAGGTGCATCTTGACATGCATATTTTTTTTTGCTAAAAAGTTGACATACAGAGATCAATAGTTTTCTAGCATGTTTTGTTTTCCTTGGATATATTTCTAGGATGCTTTTAGTTCAATAAATATAAATTTGAAGTAGAATTGAAAATAAATCATCTTATATGAACAAATGTTGTATTAAATCATTTGGTCTTGCGCAGTAGTGCTTGACCATAATAGTATGACGTTATTTAATTTACTGTGTGACGAATCTATATATAGATTCACTTTCATTTAGTCTATTACACTGAATAATAACCCTGTACTTTTTTGCACTTTGACCCGTAGTCTAATTAGGGCTTATTTTTTGGTGTACTATAAATACATTTCTGATTGATGATTTTATTGATATATGTTAGTGCCTGCATGCCCACTTAAATCTTATTCTATAATCTTTATCTGGTCATAGTAACTTGTTTCTTTGTCATTTTTGTGAGTTTTTGTTTGTTAATCTACTGGTAAAAAAAAGAAAAAGAAAAGAAAAGAGTGTATCTTTCTAAGCGTAAGATCTTGAAGAGTGGTGACTTTTTAAGTTGTTTGAATACCCATTAAATTGGGTTATGCTAAGATTCTCTAGTCTCAATATCTATCTCTCCATTTACTTAAAAAAAAGAAAAAGAAAAAAAGAAACTGTGTTAGGTCCTGAAGATCTTATGCGGTCGAGATCAACATCAGCAACATCTGTATTTGTTACATCAATCAGAAGAGCATACACATAAGGTGGAAGGCGTTTTGAAACAGCCAATGATTATGGAGTTCGATTTTATCTCTTTTATTGAGTTGCATGCATGCACGTCAATTAAAAAGAGCGCATGAAAAAATCCCCTTGTTCTTCAGTAGTAATGGTTTGACTGTTTTGTCTATATTGAGTTTTTTTTTTCTTATTTTATTAAGCGGAAAATTTCATTCAATAACTACATTGATGTACAGTCTCTAATATTGTCACGCAACAAAGATTTTTTACCACAGATAAAGACTGGATTCACTTACAAAGACGAATAAGGCGTAGAGGTGAACACAATAACACTGAAGTGCGCTAAGACTCAATGGCAAAAAGCTTGCTCAACAATATTTCAATAATTAAACACAATAACATTAGAGTCACTGTAGTCACTAGAAAAATCCAGTCGACTAAAACCAAAGAACCGATAACACTAGAGTCACTTACAACACCGCATAGAATCAAAGCTACCAAACTAAGACAAGCCACCCCCATAGAATGGTGAAGCGACTTCTTTCATTATTACACAACAAAACTATACACACTGCAAAAATACAAAAAGACACAGAATTGACGGAGTCAACATCACCTTTATTACATTAAAATAAAAACTAAAAATTAGTCAAAAGTCTCGTGCCACATGGACACAATCACTGGTGATAAGTTGGCGAACATAACCGTAGGGGACAGATTGACGAGAACTCACGTGACTCCACCAACAGGAAGCACCACCATGGTACTAGTGAAGACTCACACGACTCCACCACCATTGCTAAGGGCCGGTCCACGCACAGCCCTAACTCCATGACATGGTAGAGAGAGCAAGATTCGAGGTTGTAGGAACATTGGAGACTTGACGTGCACAATATGATTGGCAACGAACCCACCCCTCCTATCCATCCCTTCCGCCCAAAAAGTCGCCACCACCACCAAGATCATCTCTATTGAATCTAGAGCTCCATCTTTAGGGCTAGGAATCTGACAGTCAACTAGGGGATGGCGCAAAACTCCAGCCCTGTAGGAGAGGGTGTAGAAAGAAAAGAATGAATTTTGAGTGAGAGTAATTAGTATCATTTAAACTATAAAAAGTAAATAGCATGTTTTAAATTATTTGAAATAAATAGCATATTAACTTTATTTACTATGTAGATTTTTTTTCAGAAAGGGGAATTGCATTTAATTAAAAACTGATAAACAATCATTTTGGTACGATGCGAATAACCCATTAGAAGGACGAATGCACGCCTGAGGCCTGAAAACGGGAGAACACCTTGGCACACTAAGAATGAGCACACATAAAGCTCGAAGTGAAAAAATCCCTCCCATCGAGATAGGAGTGATGGGCACAGATCGCCAAACCCCACAAAGAGAAGACATCTACATGGCATAAAAAAATTTTAGCCGGACCAAGACAACCCTATCAAGAGACATATAAATGACCTTAAGCTGACCACAAAAAACTAACAATAATTAACAAAACAAATGAGGCTCGGGTGATGAGACCACCATCCTTATTACAAACATGAAAATTACATAAAAACAGAAAAAACCTTTGACCACCGCCGTTAGAAGCCTCCGGTGAAGGGTAACCGGCCAATGAGTTGTCGAGGGAGATAGCCGGCTAAGAGATCTGAGCCAACAAATGACAAACTTTCCTGGAAACAAAGCCCATCTGTTCGGCTTCCAAGCTTTAACTCAGTTTAAATCCACCCAAACGGAGCCACCACACCGTACATTGTCACTACCAATAAAAAGCTTACGACTAGGTGAGATGGAGGACCAAGTTTTATGGTAGGGAGCTAGGCGGCAAGTTCGGAGGCAACCCCAGAACTACGGCCGTCGTTCACTCTTTTTTCTCTGGTTCGTGTGGGGGAGAGAGAGTTGAAAACCCTATACACTGCCACTTATTTTATTTACTATGTAGATATTTTATTTACTCCTAATGAATTAATTATTTACCTAATGAGTATGGTATTAATTAAAATGTTGTAAAACTTGTTATTTACTCAAAATAAAGTTTTAGAAAAGTTATTTACCGCTTTCTTCTCAATAGTATTTGTTTCAGTGGAATAAAATTGTCATATTTATTTGGGATATATACCTTTTTATACTATATGTTTTAGGTTTATTTAAAATTTATACCTTCAGTTTTTTATCTCATCAAATGTATAGCTTTAAATTAGATTTAATATTGAAATTTATACCTTATCACAGTCAACCCTCGATTTTAACTTTAAAATACCTAAAATACCCTTGAATAAAAAGATAGGAAAAGAAAAAAAACTAAAAAAATTATAGACTTACGGTTTTGACCCAAAAAATATGCAAAATACCATTGAAATGGGGTTTTTTATGTTTCAAAATTTTTATTTTTGTAATATTAGAAAGTTTTAGTTTTCTTTTTCTTTTTTTCTTAAGGATAGTTTGGTTATTTTAAATGTCAAAATCAATTATTTACTGAGATAATGCATAAATTTGTATATGAAATATAATTCAAAAGTATACATTTGATGAGATCAAAACTGAATGTATAAATTTTAGAATAAACCTAAAACATAGGATATAAAAATATAAATATTTCTATTTTATTTATTAAACATAGACTAAACAAGATTAATGGTAAAGACTTGATCTCATAATTAAATGGATTTGAATGGGTGCCTCTACATGCGTGGCATAGTATTGGATAATTGACCGCTTACCCCAAGAGAGTGGTTTGGTTTCAAATCAAGATGTATAATTTCATCCAAAAAAATCATAATTAAAGTTTTTTTTTTTAAGTAAAAAGGGGTTATTAGCATTGTTAGTCTATGACTTATGAGCATTGTATTACTTTGAATTCCAATTTTTTTTCTTAACAAATTATTCTGTGAAGTTTATTTATTTATTTATTTTTTTTTACAGTTTTAATCAATTTAAGAAATCCTTCATCAATTTTAACGTTAGAGATATTGAAATTGTCAACAAAAAAAAAAAAGAAGAAAAAAAATCAAAGTTCACGAAGTAATCTGTCAAAAAAAAAATCAAAAATCAAAATGACAAAATACTCATAGTTTATAGATTAAGCGCGTCACTAACCCCGAAAAAGAGTTAACTATGGGCAAATAAATTTTTATAAATAATGTTAGTTGGAAATATATACAAACAATCCCCTTTAAATTATAAGCCTGTCCCCATTGGTAGATCTCGTGTAAATGGTGAGCGAGAATTGGAAAACATAATGGACTAATTAATAACATTACTTTTAACTTTGGCACACAAAAGTTTCAAATTTCGATTGATGATTTCCTTTGAAACTTCGTTGATTTTACTAATATAGATGTCATAATGGGCGGCACCAAGTTCCTGGAAATGT